GTGTGATCTGCAATCTTCATGGGAGCAGATCACCAGATCCTGCTTGCACAGCAGTGCTGGGTGGAGTTGAACCACTAATCTTTCAGTCAGCAGCTGAGTGCCTACCTATTCTATGACTTCTTAATATAGAAATCAATAACTCAAGGCCATTGAGTTGATTCCAACTCGTAGCTGCCCTTGTAAGGCAGAGAGCAACTCCCCCTGCGTGTTTCTGAGCCTGTCAGTCTTTATGGGAGTGGCCGCCTCATCACTCAACACTCTGTGCCGCTGGGCTCTCTTAATTTATACTTAGATAATTAAAAGAAGAAGAAAAAACTTGCAGTGTACATACCTTTCCGACAGGGTTCAACACATTATGTGTAGTATTTTCAAAATGCAGAAGTTATCTGAAAAAGCAAAGCAGATAAGTAGCTTTATTCATTACCATCATCTGGTTTGATGACAAGGACCAAGAATCCTCTCACCTTCACCTTAAGCTCATTCTTTGAGATGTGCACAAGCCTTTGCATGTCCATACTACAAACCTAAATGCCTAATAACAAGCCAAAGTGGGCCTGTCAGGGGTCCCCTTGACTGTGGAATCCAGAAAAAATACCATGTGGGTGAAGTGCCAACCTCGTTCTCTTGTGACCATGGAAAGAGCCACACGGGACACCCTGGTCCTGGTCAAGTTAGTATCAGTTCACAGCAACTCACATTCCCTGAAGCAGGGATGGGACTGAGGGGGAAGACAGGACCATAGGGTGACCTTTGTCACCCCCTTCTTGTGGTGGCCTTTGACATGTGAATCTGCACCACCTCCAGCCTTTCTCTTCTGACTATTGCAGTGTGATGGGACTGATCTCACTCCCAAGATCCAGGAGCTGAAGTTCCAGTGTCTGGTGTTTTTAAACATTCCCAGGTGAGCTTGTCCATGTACCTGCCTTTGTTTGATGGGACCTCGGGTTTGGGTTGAGGTCCCCTGTCTTCATGGCAGGACGAATCCAGGGAGAGATGACGGGAATCATCGTCTTGATTCATGGATCGTTTCTAGGTCTGATCACTCTGTTCTCAGACTTGGATCACTTCCTGTTCTGCGTGCTGGCTGAGTGGTGTCTGTGCTCCTTTAGAAACCCAGGTGCCCCCAGGCTGTAGCACAGACATTGAATCAACTCCTTTCATCCATTTCCCAAAAGCCTCCCTCAGCTCTGTTAGGAAACCTTCCAGCCAGTATTGTGCATGGGATCCATTCGCCAGTGCTACCAGATGCTTGCCTTTTGCAAACAAGAAACAGCGTTGAGTCGAGTAGCATGCTGGGGCTAGGGTTTCGGCTCTCTTGGGTGCTCTTCTCCACCTCCAAAGAAAGGGGTATTTAAGAGGGAATCATTTTGAAATAAGCACCTTATCTCAGTGGCATAAAATTGGAGGGGAGTTTCCCACACCCAGGATCTGGGGGGAGGGTGAGGGCGGGGGGCAAACACCTTTTGTTTTCTGCACACCAAGAAACTCAGACTCCAAATAGGCAGATCTGTTCTACTTGGGTGGAGTTGAATGGAAGTGAGAGATCTGTGCAAATCTAAGGCTGGGAAAACATCTTGCAGCACCCCCACTGCTCCACCATCCCCTGGTGCAGCATGCAGTGCAGTCAGCTTCCATCCTGTTCCAGACGCACTTTCACATTAGGAATTTAGGTGAAAGACCCAGATTAAGAGCAGCTATTCATTCATCTTCCTTACCTTTGTGCCCTTCTCTTTTCCTTCCCACTCCTTCCCATCTGCCCCTCTGAATCCCCCTGCCTCTATTCATCCAATCTCCTGGAGTCCCCCTTCCCTTTCTGACTGCAGGCAGGGTGAGATTTACCAGAGCAGAGTCAGAACCTGGCGGGACTGCCTTCTTTCCTCATGCTGGGCCAGTACGCTGCCCTTGACTGGGTGCAGGCTAACCGCTGCACGATCCCTCCCTAGCAGAGGA